CCCTAGAAATGCAGGTCATCAAACGACAAGATATATGCTATGTTGAGAAAAGATTCCAACTCCATAAAGAATGAAACCAACAAAACCAACATGGCACAATAACATTAACCCATCAGACCCGAATAATCAAATCTGCGAGGACACATGCCTCCTTAGCTCTATGACACTTTAAAGAACGCAAAACTCTTAAAAATATGAGGAATCTGATATACCCCCACCTCACAACGCCAAAATGGTAACTAGAGGCAAGGGGACCGAAAGTCACAAACCCTAATTCTCATACGCTTTGCTTCCTTAACATAACAAGCAAGGGATATTTATGACTGGCGTGGAGTCAATATATTTTTAAGTCCAAATAGGGCTCAAAACTTAGTTTTCCTACCGAAGCATAGCCCAAACGCCTAGAAGAAGCAAAAAAAAGATTGTTTTTTGACATTTTGAAAGAAAATGGGTAAAAGTATTACATTCTAAAAAGTATAACATAGAACCGCAAATTCAGGGATCATAGTTTCACTTTAACACAACTTTTGTGATTTGTAACACGGAACCCGTTTTTGAGGTAGTGATTCACAAATAAGCGATGTGGATAGCAAAAGCAACCTAAATTTGACATTCAGGCAGTGCAACACACCACTTCTCTCATGTGGGTTGAGTCAAACCGCTTCTCTCTCTTGTGACCCAAACCACTTTTTTCTATCCGTGAGCCAAACCACGATAACGGTGTCAACGAAAACTTGATGGTGAAGCGTAGTGATCGCCGATTCTGGAGGCTACTGCAACGGCTGTCCACCACTGGTATGGAGGGAACTAGACATGGCATGCCCCTCTCCTCCCCATTAGGCAACGATGGTGGCGGCTACAACTTGGCGCCAAACCGAGGCATCGTTGGCCAGGCCTCAAAGGCGACGAAAATGCATTGGTACAAGGTTGATCACATACATATAATTCCCTTTTTTTTGAACATAGGATGAAATGAACCATTTAAATTTGTAGGTGTGACGTTAGTTTCCAACAAACAAGAATGCAAGTACTTGAAAAAAAAATACACATGTGACAATGTTAACAATTTTCTAAGTAAAGCAATCCAACATCGCAGAATTATTACTTAGAAGTGTGGATAAAATGAAATGCCAGGGGGTAACCTTTTTTTCTTGAGACCTCATTCACTTGTGCTGATAGAGCAAACACAGAACACTCCAACACATGACACATCGGTACTTGAACATCCTTCCATTGCAGGACTTAGGAGCACCATACCACACAAAAACTTCCATCCAAACTAACCGTCAGCAACATCTATCTGAACCTCTGAACTACCCTATGTTATGTAGTATATACACACGCACCAAAGAATCTGTTAAACCTAAGCTAGAAACAAGAATCAGCTCAAGAACGGAGGAGCATGACGATGCATCGGCGGATGATGTAGAGCCTGGCCTTGTGCTGCCTCAGCATCCTGCTCAGCCCTCCTCCTACTCCTCCTGATCCCTTGTGCTTGCTGCCATGGCTCTTCACCTTGTCCATCCTCAGCAAGATAAGACAGGGCGCCTGAACAGGAGGGGGATTCTGCAGGAAGGCTCTGCTCTGCTCTTCCACTGTATAACAGGAGCGTGATATCTGGATGGATGGATCTGTGTGGTGATGTGGTTGTGACCAAGTGAATGTGAAGCTCTCATATATAGCAGGGAAATGGCCAAAACGGGAGAGACCACACTCCCACATGATCCTCAGTCACAGCGCTGCCAACTTGCGCTTATAAAAAACCTGACGGGACAGGGAGAGACATTGGATAGAGAGGATGGTGACGGGGGCATATACCCCTTGTAGGAAGTGGGGAGCTGCCTCTACCTCCACAGCCACATGCAGCGGCAACCTCTCTCAACTTGCAGCGGACTCCGATGACGCTCCAGGGGGCAACGATCGCCCCTGGAAAGCCAAAAAGGGCTAGTTTTGACACCGAATCCGTCGGTTCCATCCACGATCAGGATGGCTATTTCCACATTAGTAAGGATGGATGGGACTGGGAGTGGGGTGGCGCCTTTCGTTGAGGAACTGTCCGGTCGGATCTTGAAATGTAATATATGCTCATGTCTCATGATAATGTTCCTGTCAGAAATCCAAGCTGAGACTTTGTTTTTTGACTAGTGTGTGATGTACTTCCTCGGTACAGTGATCTAAGCGCTCTTATATTTCTTCATAGAGAAAGTTTTTTTTAAGGGTCTTCACAGAGGAAGTTCTAAGTTTTTTTTAAGGGTCTTCACAAAGGAAGTAGTTAGGAACCAGCAACCAGATAACCTAAGCAAAGAAGGGATATTAGTTCATATGAAGCACTATCGTGCTTTCACACTTTTGACAGACAACAACAAAAAAGTCGAAAAAACCAAGAAAAATTGAAACAAAAATCACAGGGAAAAAACCCGGTTAAACCCATGAAACCCAAGAGAACCCCCAAAGAAAACCATCTCAACGCGATAAGAAACAGTGTGTCCTGCGGCGGCACGATCAAAGAAAAAAAGACGCCAAGCAGAAAAAAAGATGAACACAGACAATAGAGCAAAGGAGACACCCACCCAAAACAGAGACGAGGAGCTGCCCGACGGCGAATTGAACGCTTAAAGAGGCCGAAGAACACGACAGGCTGCACATTCATGTAAGAAGGATGAGACCGGAGATGTGTTCAGCCGTTGCGGGGGCTATGGGCAAAGAGCACAAGGGAGCAACGAGTACAAGGGAAAAGGAAGAGGGTGGCCACTTGCGCGCCATCCTATATGCAGCATAAAACAACGAACTTATAGCAAGACATAACCGCCTTAAGGAAAAGACCGAGCTACCCTTGCGGTAGCATTCAGATATGGCTGGGGCCTGGCCAACCAGCTAGGTCGCGGCCGCACCCATGTTTGGATGGCCCTCTTCGACCACCGGACTCGTGGCTGGTGAGAGCGAGGCAGCCCGACAAGAGGCCACGAGTGCTAACAAGTGGACCTAGTCTCAACAATTGCACGCCATTGCGACCCTAGCCGGACGACCCTCTCCAACCACCCAGCGCGTGGCTGGCATGAGCAGCACAGACCGGCAGGGGTGACCACGCGCACCTGTCTAGCCCAAGCAAAATAGGTTGGCTTGCGCGACCAAAGTAACCGCTCACAGCCGGGCCTGGACTACCCCTCGCATGAATGACCCCGGCGACTTGGACCATGGGCTCGCATATTGGATGGCGCCGAGAGCCCCCGAGAGGCATCTTTTCAACCAACAAGGTGTTCTCATTATTGCCGGCATCTTAATGCTCATGATCAGGAAAACAAAATCTCTGCAATATTAATAGGGGCGGAGCCAGGGGGACGAGCACTGCCTGCTGTCACCCCTTTTTTTAAGAATATAAAGAAAGATGTATGTGGTGGGACCCACAAATTGCTTACTTCAGCTTTTATTTCTCCTCTCGGACCATCTCACATGGGCTCATAGCCTACCCTTATTTTTTTACTCATCACAACGTGACAATTGCAACATGGCAGAAGAGGCATAGGTCTTCTTTTCTATGAGGTACGATGCGATGGTTTCAGAACCCAGTAGATTCAGCTGCGGACTATTGTTCACTGTGAATCCCTCTAATCTCAGCCGTTAGATTTATGAGACCAGTGGCTAGGATTGATGCTCCCAAACTCATACACTATATAGTAGTATAGATTTTCAACATTTTTAAGGCGGTGGATGTGACACTATTTCATGTCCATGGTGAAAACCCTTGTTCCGACCTTTATTGGTTATGCTCAACAATGATGATTTTTGTCTCATTACCATGTTGAAGGCATTGCCCCATTGCTGACGTATTGACCTTCAGTAGTTGGTCTCCACAACTGGGATGAAAATACTTTTCCTAGCCTTCTTCAGTCAGACATGGTGACGATGGCGCGAGGTCGTGTACCCCTTGCAAAAGGCATTGCTACAAAAGAAATCGACTTAGTCATAATTGTTTATTCATCTCTTTGTAATTATTCAGCCGTGTTTGTCTTTGTATTGTACTTTGATGAATAGTACTCCCTCCATAAAGAAATATAAGAGCATTTAGATCACTAATGCAATGATCTAAACGCTATTATATTTCTTTGCGGAGGGGGTAAATTAATAATACTAGGCGTGTGTGCATCACATGATGCAGGGTTTAACCTCCTTTTCAAATAGAAAAATGTACTCCCTTCAATCCATATTAATTAACGCACACTTAGTACAACTTTATGATTGGATGGAGTATAAGAATTGTACTTCCTCCGTTTCTAAATATATATGTCTTTTTAGATATTTCAATATAAACTATATATGGATGTATATAAACATATTTTAGAGTATAGATTCACTCGTTTTGCTCCGTATGTAGTCCATATCGAAATCTGTAAGAAGACTTATATTTAGGAAGTGAGGGAGTACTAAGAGTACTAAGTATGCATGATATCAACAGCAAACAAGAAAATAGTAGATTGTTTTCAGCATGTTATGAGCGATTGAACGTATTGAAATAAGAAAAAAAATCTCAAGATTTTATATGAGATGTGGCAATTGCTCTATATCACTGCAAATTGGACATAAGATGAGATGAACCATTTAAATTGGTAGGTGAGGTTAGTTTCCAGCTAACAAGAAGCCAAGTACTTAGAAAAAAAACACATGTGACAATGCTGTCAACTAGGCACCAATTTTAATAGATAGAAGTGAGGCTTGAACCCTGCCTAACTAATAAGACCCAGGGTCATTTGGTCTTTCTAGTGTATTTCTAACTTCCCTGTTACAGATACTCGACGGCAGCAATCTAACATTTCGTACACAACGATGGTATGCCAAAAAGCATTTACACTGCAGAATTATTCTTTTTCCCTACTGGCATGTAATCTCAACCGCTACAACCTTCTCCACAAACCATACCCAACATGGGATGCCGGCAAATAAATCAAACACTGAACAAACTAGGCTAGAGATGTCAGAATGGCTTGGGAGGTACTGGTCTTGCTTCACGGATTGATGTTGCATTCCCGCAGAAAAGGCTGATCGTAGTCAAGATACTCTGACCAGTAGCTTCGGAACTTGGGCAGGCCAATCTCAAGCCAGGGCTTCATGTTGCCATTGTAATGTATGACCGCGGCACGCTCCAGGCCACTACTGCTTACATGTGGGTTGTAACCTAGACCGAGAATATGCCATGATCGATCGAGGGGGAATGTCTTGTTCCAGAATGTAACCAGACCTAGAGGGAGAGTGCCAAGTTTCCATAGCAATCCGTCTTCATTCTGCAATCAAAAGTCGACAAATATTTATCAAATGGAATGCAAAAGAAAACAACAAATGACAGGTCTTCCGAAATAAAACAAAGGATGTAGTTAAAAGCTTCCAAGTCATTGACAATTCAGAAGGATTATATAGTTCTCTGATTCTCTCATCTTTTGCACAGTAGTCATGTCCCCACAAATTTTGAAACTCTGTACAATACGAGTGTTGAGAGATTTCTCTAAATCTTGCTACCCATGTAAGCTGAATATTAGATGTGTTAATTACATGGACAATCTGCGACATAACATGGAGAACCTTATAGAGGGATACGAATAAACTCAGCATTGCACATGATCTTTAGTTCAAAACTTTATCAGCCTACTTAGGCATAGAAGCCATATTGTCCCTAAGCTAGTTCTAGACATCTCGTGTAATTTATCATGTATGAAAGTAATCACAAGTATGTGAAACTTACAAGCTTCTGCCAAAAGTGGTAGATTTCAGTTATGTTCTGCCGCCTCCATTCAGCCAGATCAAACATATTCATTCCAAAAGCCCAGACACATGCATTGGGATCAAAATTCTTTGCAACAACAGGACTTGAGAAATTCAAGTAACGATCGAAGCGATGGAAGCTCTCTCCACAAGTCTCTACAGCACCATTAACCTTCCCCTTCATATCGATTGACCAGAGGCCAGTTATGTCCTTTCTTACTACTACATCATCATCAAGAAAAACCACCTTGTCGAGCTTTGGATAAATCTCAGGCAAGTAGAATCGCAGATGATTAAGCATTGAAAGATACTTTGGGTTTCTGTACTTCAAATATGAATCTGAATTTGCACTTTGTGCCCTAAAGTAATAATCGATCATAGATTGAGATCCCAGTTGTTTCAGCAACAGGCTCGAGCTGTCATTTAGCCATGTGAATTCGTCAATATTTTGTACTTCAATTGTTGCTTTTCCAGGAGGATTAGAGAGGAACCACATTCTCATTGGAGCATAATTTAGTCTGTCAGTTACTATGTGGAAAACCTGACGAGAAGGATGCTGCAGACAAAAAATTCCACTCGGTACGTTGCATGTTATCTATCAGCATAACTCAAGTAGGAAGTATCAAGAATACATACCTTGGCATTTAACACTGTCGAATTAACAACAACTGCTGTTGCCAATATATTATCTGAGAACAAGGCATAGTGGTACAGTTTGGGATCATCAAGTTTCTCCTGGTTTGGGAATTGCTGCTGACTAGGATCCAATGAAAAGTATTCATTAGCTAGCCTCAAGGGGAGGCAGTGAAGACCTTTGGGAAGGGTTTTGGCTGCAAGTTGAGTTAGAAAAACAGTTTGCTTTTTTTGTGCATACAGCTGCTCCTCTGCCGAATGAAGCATAGCCCGGAGCTTTTTGACAACAACAGAGCAATCATCCTGTGTCTGTTCGCCCTTGACCAATGTCTGCTCAAGTGCTTTCACCTTCTCATTGGCACTGAATAAGTCAACATAAATTAAAGATTACTGAATAACTGCATGGGGCTGCAAAATGCCCACAATATGCTAACACTTTAAAATTCATGAACATTTGGGAGACCCATACTTCTTTGGTAGATCAGAGTCCTTGGATGCTTCACCAAGCACCTTTTGAACTTCCCGTATCCTCTGTCGCAATTCCCTGAGGTATTGAGGATTTGCTCGAATGGCTCCAAGACCAAGGTAGACCTTTGCCTTGATTAAATGATCCTTGATATCCCGGACTCTAGTATCCGACGAAGCCATATTTTTACTCCTGCCATCTGTGTTTTCTTTTTGAGGGTTCTTCCCTGCACCTTGATATCCCTGAGGTATCTGTGTTATAGCCTCCAATGATCTTCCCTGCAAATACAAGCCCACACAATTTATATGAAGTTATGTGGCAAGAAATCATGATTGCAACCTATCGCATTGAGATGTAACAAAAAACAATTATGTGAATTTTCTTCATAACAAAATGGAAATGCCCAAATTCCGCAGAGAGTACAGCCAGGATGATTCCAGCATATGGATGAACATTTCTAAGTTAAGTAATGTACGAAAAGTAGAACACACTGACCAAACTAATGCACTAGTCGCCAGTGCAGCAAAGTGTTCCAAGTGTCTGTGAACACATGAGTTTATTGGTTCATTTCCTAGGAAAGTATGCCTTGCCTACAATGTGGTAATCCTTATAAAAACTGAAGGGATGCTTTGGTGGTATCATCAAACGAGTGACCCGAACACACACCAGGCCCTCGTGTAAGACCGTCCGGTGCAGGGACTGTTGCCCACGGAAAAAGCCGCTTGGACCACCCGAGCCAAATCTCCAGATCGTCTGGGGCCCAACCCATGTGACCCAGGACGCCACCTGGATGACACCCCGGACTGTGCGGCGCTAGGAGCAACTCTCTGAAGACCGAAGCCGCGCAAGCTCAAGCCCTCGACGGGCTCAATGGATCCAGCATCACACTGAGGTAGTTGGCCACGGAAGACAAACGGTGGGCCCAACGTGTTCTGGAATGACCCTTGTATTGTATCCATTTGTTAAATTTGACTCTTTGAAGTTGTTGTATATGTATGTTCTTGTGGATCTGTATTGCAATTGTGCTGTGATACTTGCTTTCCACTGACATGGTGTGCACGTTGGCACGTCTACACTGGGTGAAGGTGGCGTCTTAGGATCGATATTATGCGGATGCTAGTGGATGTACTAGATCAGCATAGTAGCGGTCCCGGGGCGCTACAAAGAGATTAAAAATCCACAGGTGACAACTCAACTAAATTTGCCAGTATGCACCTAAAGCCTGAGAAGTAACATGTATCAACCTCAGAAGAAGACTGCTGCTGGGATCCTGTGTGCTTCTCCTGCTTATCCATTGAGCCCGTCGCCAAACCACCATCTTCTGCCGTCCGCCTTGTCACTTGGTCGATCAGGTCTCCACCCTTCAATACAGCACCATCACCAGAAGTGGTCTCAGAAAGCACCCTGTTAGCTCTCTTCCCCGGTAGCAATTCTACAAACAGTTCATGTGCAAACCATCTAAGGACAAAATATCACAAGACCTATATCTTAAGAGTACAGTGTAACATTTACCAAAACCAAGATAAAAATCGAGCACACCTTGGTCCGCGGATTCAATCGAATCGTTGGCTAAATGGGGCGGTTCCTCCACTAATACGGCACCGACAGATTCCTTCAGAGAACTCAGAGTTTCCTGCGTCGAAATCCATAATTACTCGTTGGCCAAGACACAAGAAACATAACAGAAAATTTTACCAGAGGAAACGCATTTAGCTTCCTATCCTTGACGCTATGGCCCTGCCAAAACATAAAGAAACCATTAAAGCCATGAACATCTCCGGCCCCTGTACCAAAACCCAAAATCCTACAAAAACACTAACCTGACTCGCAATCTCGGCAGGAAAATCCTTCCTTTCTGCAAGAAATCCGACGTAAATACCGTAAGAACCGCAGTGCCAAGAAAATGCCTCAGATCTCGATTGAATTAGACCGAGGACGGGAGGGGGGGTGCTTACCGTTGGGGTTAATCGCGACGGTGAGGCGGCGCTCGGAGAGCAGTAGCGGGGAGAGCACCGTGGGGATCAGGAGGAGGAGCAGCACGGACCGCCCCGTCCTCGCCATCGCGCCAGAGTTCTTGGTTTTCCCCTCTTCCGCTCGTCAAACTTCGCTGCAGAGTGCAGAGTGCCGACCATTAGTTCGGGTTTCTAGAAGGAAGTGTTTTTAGATAGGCCTTCGCTTTTTGGATGGGCTTGCCTGCTCCGTTTTTTTTCTCTTTCAAATTCATGAACTTTTTCAAATCCATAAAAATTTAAAATGCACAATTTTTATAAATCATATCTTTTGAATCTCTGAAAAAATGTCAAATCCCGTGAACTTTTCTTTAAACTGTTGAACTTTTTGGAGTTAGCGAACTTTTATCAAATCTACAGACCTTTTTTTGAACCCATGATTTTTTAAATACAGAAATTTTTTCAAATTCTTAAACATTTTTTATTCCTGATTATTATTATTTTCAAAATTTTGCATTTTCATCAACAAGTCAACAGTCGATCGATTAACTGCAAACCGACCGACCAAGAACCAGCGCGTTGTGAGCAAGCTGTTCGCCTTGTTGTTGGGCCGGCCCACGGACCGGGGCACATGAGCGCTGAATCCTTACTCAACGCAAGGCGCCTCTAGTTAGGGGCAGTCCTAAAAGTAACCGAAGGGGAACACCCAAAGCAAGAAGATGAAACTTGATGGGTCGAGTTTGCAGACCGAGCATCAAGCGCCGGACCGGTTAATGAGAAGACAAAATAATCGATTTGTGAAGTAGTGGCCCATTTTTGTGCACGCTGGGTGGCGCCGTGAAAGGGAGATCTGGAGCGTTCGGCAGATAGATTAACCGGTTTGTGAGATCAAATCACTTTGGAAGGCCCCTAGGTGGCTCAGTTTTATTATTTTGTAATGCATTGGTATGTGAGCACGCCCCAAAGAATCTATCAAGCCTACGCAAGAGAGAAGAATCATATCATGAGGAGAGGAGCATGCTGGCGCATTGGGGGATGATGTAGATCCTGGCCTTGTGCTCCCTCGGCATCTTGCTCAGCCCTCCCGATTCTGATCCCTTGTGCTTGTTGCCATGGCTCTTCATCTTTGCATCTCGATCTTGCAACACGAGGCTCGTGTGTAAAGTATTAATCACCCAGAGGCAATCACTCGATGATCTGCCTCCAGCTGTTAAGGTTTGTCAGTAACACGAGCGCTTCGTGGTACACCAGCCATAAGAAGGGATGTTATATGTCTAGCAGTAGTTTTGGTTCTGTGCATCACGATGATGCGAAGGCTAGGGTTCGCCCTTTTCAATAAAAAAATGACTAGTGGTGTACTCATGGCCCAATACCAACGTCCAAATAGGCCTTAGGTTTTAGTTTTCTGCCTGAAGCCTGGTCCAAAAGCCTAGAAATCCACGAAATGATTGGCTTTGGAATTTTAAATGAAAATATGTATATCCTTAAATTATTAAAAGAAACCCCTGTTTTTGAGGAAGTGGTTCACAAATAAGCTCAAATTCAGAGGTCGTAAATTCGTAATTTCACTCTACCACAGATTTTATGGTTTGTAGTAAGAAACCCCTGTTTTTGAGGAAGTGGTTCACAAATAAGCTTTGTTAGTAGCAAAACTGGCCTCCAAGGCCCATGTGAATGTGCCATGTAGACAGTGTGACATACCAATTTCCTCGCATATGTTGAGCCAAACCACTTCCCTGCCGCCCTTGTGATCTGAATCACTTCTCTCTCTCTCTCTCTCTCTCTCTCTCTCTCTCTCTCTCTCTCTCTCTCTCTCTCTCTCTCTCTCTCTCTGCCCCAAGAGTCGGCGCACAACGAAGTTGTCGACGAAAACTTGGAGACAAAGCAAGGCTACATCGGCTGCCAACTCTAATGGCGATTGTTTGAGACTTGCGGATGGGACACGACGTGACATGCCCCTCTCCTCCCTCTTTAGGCAATGGCAATGACGACTAAAATTTGCCACCGAATTGAATTGTCGTTGGCCATGCCTCGGAGGTGACTGCGACGACAATGCATTGGAACGAGGTTGATTCACATACACATAATTCTCCTATTCTTATGGTGTGCTCAGAACGAACAGGTTCAATTGTTTCATTCTTGTCTTAGCTCTACAACTTTCAGCCACTCGATGCCCATTGGGTGTCTTTTCTCAAACAAAAAAAACTTCCAGCCTCCAGCTCCTAGCTATGAACGCGGCAGTCAGCTCTCAGTAGTGGTCATCGTAGCATCGAGTTGACACCCAAGGCATGGTCATTTGTAATCACGATGACGACACATCAAGCCATGGCTATCATAGTGGCCGTTTGAAACACGCCAAGCTGTGTCCACTACATCGAAGAAACATGGAGGGGGTGTCTCGGAGGGCCCAGTTGTCATCGCAATCATGGACAAGTGGCAAGGTGGGGCGGGGGCCTACAATCACCATCGTAATTGGTTATTGCCATCGTGAAGTTGCATGTCCTTGTTGTTAGCATCGAGGCAGTGGTGGAGGGGCGCGACAGACGCCCTAGCCATAGTTGGTGAGGGCCTGGGCGGGAGCTCAAAGGATTTGTCGCAGTTGGTGAGAGCCTGGGTAAGAGCTCAAAGAATTCGTCACGGTTGGCTACCGCCATCGTCGCCTCACTTCACTACCAAGTTGCCAAGTTGGAGTTGTTGGTGCCATTGTGAGAAGGTTGTCGAAGCTCAAGGATAGCTAACTAATCCAACTCAACCTAGTTGTACATCGTTTGTGTTGTGTTGTTTGCCACGTCTGATGGGTGGGCCCCGAGAGTCAGTCTTACTATTAAAATGGCTTAGATGCAAATGTGAGTTATTTGTGAATCACTACCTCAAAAAATGCGGTTCCTCGTTGCGAACCCTAAAAGTTGTGGTAAAATGAAATTATGCCCCCCTAAAGTTGTGGTTTTGCGTTGTTTGCTCTATTTTTAAGCCAATACAGAAAATTATTCAGTCGAGTGCCTTATATGGTTTTTTGTGCGGGAAGTGCATTACATGCCTTTTGATAGCATACCGCTGCTGCTTGTCGTGCTCCAATTCAAACAAACAAAGCCTAAGATTTGTAATGTGCCATGCAATGTTTTCAATCCGTTTCTTCTAGATGGACACTGGCAAGGATAAACCACATTCGAGTTCCTGCCACCTCAGCGAGTCATACATGATGTTGATTTCTAATTTGGCATTAATTCATTTTACCGGAAAATTTCATTGCTCTATTCTAATAGCAAAGTGCATTTTCATCCCTCAACTTATTGGGAAGTGGCTTTAGTCCTGGACTTATTTTGGTATGGTCGTCGTCCCTTAGCTCTTATTACCAGTTAGATTTAGTTCCCAAGAGTGGTACTCCACCATCAAACCCAATATTGGGGACACATACACAGTCCAGCGCTGCCGCACCAGTGTTCTTCCACATGGCATCGTCGCCCCTTCGTAAGGAGGTGCATGTCGCTGGCTCGCTACGCCATGGCCGAAGGGAACAACGGCGTGACCTCTCGAGCATCATGACACCAACGCCGTCTTCCTCGCATCTAGCAGGCATGACGTCACACAACTTCCCGGTCCTCCTGATTACACTACCGACACCCTCTCATCACCCTAATTCTATTTTTCTACTTGCCCAAAGATTTCGACCATCGCATATCCGGCAACCACCACGGTCATCTCTGGTACACGTACATTAGAAAGGCACGCGAACAACTCCTCCCTTGTTGCTCCTATCCCATCTCGCTTCTTTTGGTCCTCTCCATGGGTATTTTTATGTCCTCTTCTTTAGGGTTGCACTCAGCCTAGAGGACCAAGACAAGATGGAGGTCATTAATGGAAGGAACCATGCCACCGGCAAAAATAGAGGTTGTCGGTGACCAAGGTATGGTCTACAGGGTCCACAAGGCTTCCTGAGCACGAGCATATGCTCGGCAACCAATATGACACTGCCATTTGCTACAAATCTTCGTTGGAGCAAAAGTCAAGAATCTACATGGTATGGTCATTTGTAAGTTGTAACCATTTGCTAAACCGGTTTTGGCCGAGGAATACCGCTATAAGGGACTAAATCTACTTGGTATTAAGAGTTGGGGGACAATTGCCCCCCAAAATAATTAGGGATGCAAGTCACACTTCCGGTTCAGTTGAGGGACAAGAATGCACTTTACTCTTTTTTTGCAGGCACATTTTACTCTAATAAAACTAACAATAATTTTTTATGCACATAAATCCGGAATTAGAATAGCTATGCTTTGAAATAACATTGATGAAAATTAGCAATTTTATTTATATAGCCAACTCAAAAATTCAATGTGGACTAAAGAACTAAGAAGACTGGACTGATAAAATGCATTATACAATGACGGGTATGCATATGTTTTACCAACACATTACTTACATGAATTCATAGTGTCGGTGGTAGAACATTCAAGGATATTTGTATGTAGAATATACAAAATATGTATGAGCAACCGAGTGTATATTACGAAATAAGCGAAATCCCTGAAGATTTAATACGATGTGTGGCAATTGCTCTGTATCACTGTAAATTGGACATAGGATGAGATGAACCACTTAAAAAAATGTAGGTATGTGGTTAGCTTCCAAAATATTGGACTGACAAGAATGCAAGCCGTTAAAAAAAATGTGACAGTGCTGCCAATTTTGTGGGTAAAGCAGTCGGCATCGCAGACTAAAACTGAGATGCAGATAAAAATGGAATGCCAGGGGTAACACCTTTTTATTCTTGAGATCATTCGCTTGTGCTGATAGAGCAAACACACAAAATAACATTCCAACACCTGACACATGTACAACCTTGCCATTGCAGGACTTAGGAGCACCATACCACACCAAAACTTGCAGCAACATCCATCGGGACCTTCTAAACTACCCTATGTTATGTACTCACGCACCAAAGAATTTGTCAAGCCTAAGCTAGGAAGAAGAGGAATGGGATCAAGAGCAGAGGAGCATGACGACGCATCGGCGGATGATGTAGAGCCTGGCCTTGTGCTCCCTCAGCATCCTGCTCAGCCCTCCTGACCCTGATCCCGATCCTCCCCGGCGCTTGCTGCCATGGCTCTTCAC